GTATAAGCTTTAAGAACTCAATATATATATACACACATATATATATATAGTTGAAACATGGTATACACTGCGATGATCAGTCATTGACCGCAGAAGTGTCATACGGGATGAAATCGTAAGGTCATGGGTCAAAGTAGAGTATACAGAAGATATATAGAAGGAATAAATATCTGTGTGTGTCTGTCTGTTTGTCCCTTATCTAACTACCCCTAGGTTGCTGGGCCAATGTCAAACAAACTTTGTGGGATGATATTTTGGAACAAGGGGCATGTTAATGGGGGCTTTACAACCCCTCAACACCATTATTGATGTTACTGAGCATTTATTATCTTTGACGTAAGTTAACGTTAACTACATTCATAGATAGCGTCACATTCGTACACCAAACAAAAAACTATATTAAATTTTTCGTCCCCCGGACAGCGGTAAGTCTTAAGATTTACAACGCTAAAATCAGGGATTCGATTCCGTTTGGTGGACACAACAGATAGCCCGATGTGGCTTTGCTATAAGAAAACACACACACGCCTTATATTTTCTATAACTCAACATACACACAGTGTGGGGGAAGGACATACGAACGTCTTATATATCTTGGAGAGTGCGCCAGCACTCTCTATGGAGGGATGCAATGAAAAAAAAGGATTGCTACTACTGCAATAAATCTGATGGCCGTGCGGGGCGTATTAATGATTGTGAAGGTAAACTAAGTGAGTCACACTGATTCCACAACACGTGATAACCCACCAAATACCACTAGTACAAAACACATTTTGAGCGGAATGGTTTGATCAAAAATGACAAACGGATAGACTTATCTTGTAAGAGATATCAGATCCAGCAACACTTTCGAAACCTGGGTATCGGGAGCAAGTATTAAAACTCAACAAGTTTAACAGCACCAGTGCTCTAAGTGTCTATAAATAAATGAATGAAGAATTTCACACACAAAACCTTAACACAATAACACTGCTGTTCGACGTGGATCTCTGAAGGTTGACAGACCCAATTCCTAAATATCTTTCCCTTTGTAACCCAGAGTACTATCTACACCCACCCTTCCCTTACGCACATGGTGACGTCGTACATACTTCCCTACTCCAAATTTCATTTGTGCACAATTTAAATGAAGTGTAAAAAGCTTCCCACGCACGCACATACGTTACGCTTTTAAGTACTTAGATTAGTGTAACTATTATTATTATTTTTGTAAGTAACAACCAATTGTATGATTTCCAATAATGGTTAATTTGACTAAATAATGTTGTTGGAACAAAATTAATGATGATTTCGGTGGGACGCAAAATTTAAAAGGTTTGAGGTATCACAATAATCAGTTTTGTTGGTCTAATAATTGGGGACTAGGCCTAACTTTTATCTCCTGAGCTGACCGAAAACTTAAGGTATTAATTATGGCAATGCTGCTGACGATAACTATTTCTACACTACATAGAGGATTATGATTACACTATAGCTACTTCTGACCATAAATCTGGTTAAATAACATTATACAATTGTCTACTTTAATGTATAACCTGTTTTAGGGTATTTGACTCATTCTTTTAGTTATGTTCAGGAGTTTTAGAGAATAAAGTAGGAAATCACGTGGTTTTGAAACAATATAGACTAGTGTCATCCTCGTATGTAATTTTCATTTCTATGTGTCACGTGGGTGTTGCAAGATATTGCTTCTATGATGCATATTATAAATGTAACATATTTAGTGCTACAACCAAAGCAAGGCGCTATTGGCGCAACGAGAATGACAATAGCGCAGGCGCAGTGGGAAAATCGGCGTTTGTTTACTGCAGATTCTGCTTGAGATCCAATGTTACAGTGAATGCGACAACGTTTAGATGATCAATCCTAAGGGGTATTTAACAGGATTTTATCCTGCTTTCTTTTTCATCAGTTCTAAAATTGGGAATAAATATTAAAGGCTTACTCAGCTGGACTACTACTGATACCTTAAGATCGTATCAAGATACTAGTTATGAAGACTCTACCGTGTACTTGTAAAAAGGAACCTAATGGAAATGTCCCCTGCCATCATTCCTATGGTTGCCATGGGGACGAACCGCCAGATACACAGTATTCATGTAAGTTGATCATGTGAGATAGCAAGGGTAATTATTACAGAGAAGTTTGTTTGAATTTAAATAAAACATGCCCGAAATAATCTGTAGGTTATCTGTCAGCACGTTTGTCAACCCCAATGTTCAAAATGACTGTGTAAAAATTGTTTAAAACTATGACTGATTTCATGAACTTCTATATGTTATTAATGTGAAATAATCTGTAGGTTATCTGTCAGCACGTATGTTAACCCTAATATTCAAAGTGACTGTGTAAGAATTATTTAAACTGTGACGTATTTCATGAACTTCCATGTGTTTTCAGTGCTTAACTGCAAACCCATAATATGACTGACTGGCACAAATGAGTGCTAGTTGTGAGAAAAGTGCATTACTTATAGGCGATTTTACTCGCTTGTAAATGATGGTACTGAGACAGATGAAAATGGTCGAAATCACTTTTTCTCTTACAGTAATTCGTATTATATTCAAAATAGGCAATACTTTCAGCTTTACTTACTGGTTTTTAAAATCGTATCTTTGTGTCTAAGTGATTAAGACTTAAGTCTGTTATTATTCTTATTTGTAACTCCATAACTAAATTACAGTGCAATAGTTATCTTGATATTAATTATTACTAATGTATTGATTTCATAAGTTATTATTTGAATACACTAAGTGTAATCTAGTTTTAAAGTTTTGAGTTCTCAACACGTGAAAAAGTGTAAAGTAATTATACAAGATATCTGAAAATAAAATGTAACTCCTATTTCATTCTTAGTCCGTGAGATATTTCCCATAATTATGCCAAGTAGAATATACAATACGTGTAATTATCTTTATCGAGGTATTTCCCAGTGATCGTACAATATTACAGGATAGAAGAAACAATATCTGTAACTCTCTCTTCATTGTCAGATATTTCCAAATAACTATACTAGACAAAAAAAACAATATCTGTAACTCGTTCTTCATTGTCAGATATTTCATAATAACTATATTAGACAGAAAAAACAGTATCTGTAACTCTTTCTTCATTGTCAGATATTTCATAATAACTATATTAGACAGAATAAACAGTATCTGTAACTCTTTCTTCATTGTCAGATAGTTTCTAATAACTATACTAGATAGAATAAACAATATCTGTAACTCTTTCTTCATTATCAGATATTTCTCAACAGCTATTCTAGGCAGAAGAAGCAATATCTGTAACTCTTTCTTCATTGTCAATTAGTTTCTAATAGCTATTCTAGGCAGAAGAAACAATATCTGTAACTTTTTCTTCATTATCAGATATTTCTCAATAGCTATTCTAGGCAGAAGAAACAATATATGTAACTCTTTCTTCATTATCAGATATTTCTCAATAGCTATTTTAGGCAGAAGAAACAATATTTTTAATTCTTTCTTCTCAGAAGAAAAACAAATATTACCCTATCTTCATCATTAGATAGTTATTATTCGTGTTTCCTTCACAATGCGAATTATTAATTTGTGTAATATAATGTTACAGATAGTGAAGATTCAGACCATTTAGAATACAGATGATTGTGTTATAAGATCATGAAAATGATTAGATGATTTACGAAAATGACCAAAAATGTACACCATTAACGTAATGAAAAATACGCAATAAGTTACATCAGTAATTGTGATGTCGACTGTGTTCTCTCCTTATCAGTCATGTGTGTTTAAAAAATGAATTATTTATCCAGAATAACACTTGTGTTAAAGAATAATAAGTGTTCAGAGAGAAGAGTTTTGGCTAAAGCTAGAAAAACTGGTAAGCGACATAGTTTTGAAACAGAATTTGACTAGAGGAGACAATATGTAATGTATTAGTACAGCTGAATGCTAATAAGGATCTCAGAATTTCACACTGCGTTAAAGTAAGACATTTCTGTTTCCCTGTCTACCTCCCTCTCTCTTTCTTTATACAACTATAATTATCTCTACGTCCATCCACCCATTTATATCTTTCCTTTCCACCCTCTCCGCCTGTTTGGCAATAACACGTATAACGACGTTCAAACATCGCATTCTAAAATTGACGCTTAACAAAATTTCGGCCCCTCAGTGGCTCAGCGGTAAGTCTGAAGGTTTATAACGCTACAAAAACAGTGTTTTCATACCCGTGGTGGGCACAGCACAGATAGCCCTTTGTATAGCTTTACGCTTAACTACAAACAGACAAATAAAAGTTAAATGCAACAGAACATAACAACAGTTCTTATTCCCCTTCCGCCTATTTTGAGGGTATTTGGATTTTCTTGGTCAAATTTAAAACAGTTCGTTATTTTAACAACGAAGTAAGAAAGTGGTTGCAATAAGCCGGTTACATAAGAATAAGTTTTAATGTAGCTTTGGTCTGCTTCTTTATTTACTTTGTTTTGTAGGGGAATATAAGATCATGTAATAAAATATACAAATCATCTGTTTTAATTATGCTTAGATTACATCACAGAAACATTATTTTAGAATCACACACAAACTTCTCTATCTTCAAATGGCCATGATATTCTGTCATATAGAACCTATATATGTTAGGCTTATCATTTATTTTAGAATTACACACACACACACACTTCTCTATCTTCAAATGCCCATGATATTCTGTCATATAGAACCTATATATGTTAGGCTTATCATTTATTTTAGAATTACACACACACACACACAAACACTTCTCTATCTTCAAATGTCTATGGTATTCTACCATATAGAACCTATATATGTTAGGCTTATCATTTATTTTAGAATTACACACACACACACACACTTCTCTATCTTCAAATGCCCATGATATTCTGTCATATAGAACCTATATATGTTAGGCTTATCATTTATTTTAGAATTACACACACACACTTCTCTATCTTGAAATGTGCATGATACTATACCACGTAAAACCTATATATGTTAGGCTTATCAATTAGAACATAAAACTAGTAAACTCCGTGCTCAAGCTATGCATAATGTTTTAGAAAGAAATAGTTGAAATGTTTCTAAAATTTCATATTTTTCGTGTTAGGTATGGGCCAGTACTTCGCATATTATTTTCATTTTCCTAATAAATTTTGGCATTTTTAAGTGTGCTCCACAAGAAAAGGACCAGTGAACGATAACTTTTATCAAATTACATGCAGCTTTATCGCTAATTTCTGCTGAAATGCATACATATAGGATTTTTGTAAGGTTAGCTTTTCATAGTATTGGTTACTAGAACGATAAACATTTTGTAGTATTTGTTACGAATGATTTGAAACATGCAACGGTTATATGCATATTTATTGTCGCTTATACCTAAGTGGAATCAATAAGAAAAGAAAAAGTTAATATATAACATGAAGATTTGTGTTTTAAGCGCAAAGCTACATAACAGGCTATCTCAGCTGTGCCCACCACGGTAACCGAAAACCAATTTTTATAGTATAGTCTCTCAAGCTTACCACTGAGCCATTGGGCTCTCCCGTTAGGGACCGTAACATGAACTACAAGAAACAGCATAAAAACAGCGACTACATTTTTGTATAGGATATTTCAAACTTATACAATTTCTATGTATTGTTTTAAACGTGAGATGAACAAGTAATCCAATAATGTAATAATTAAATAGAATCAAATACAAAAAAAAAAAAATAACTAGCACAAACTGTTGAGTTGAATTATTTTTGACGTTCAGAGGTAAGTCCCTTTGGTCTTAGATTTTTCATTGTTTTTGTGTGTGTGTGATTTCGGGTTGTTCCAAACGCTAATGATCTTGTTTATTCAACAATTTTGAAGTCAAGGTTTAGAACTATCAGTCCATGTTTGTTTGATACTGAAAGCAGACGTTTCTGGTTCATTATCAGGAAATAGTTTTCGTGTTGCCTTCAAATAGCTTCGTCTATGAATACTTGGCACAGCTTGTGTGTAAAAGTTTCTAGCCAAATACTTTTTTCGTGGCTCACTTGGACTCTTTTCCCGTCTTTTTGTGTTCTAAACTTGCACAGCAGGTGTGCTGTGAATGATGTTATTTCATTGCTCAAGATGTACCTATTATATGTTTGAAAAGTATTGATTGATACGAAGGATGTTAAGAACTAGCATTATATATATATATATGCTGCAAACATGATCATAAAGTTTTACGCCCAAACGTTCACATTATTCTGAATACAGAGTGAATAAGAAAAGGAAAAACTGCCTGATTACCACAGTTATCGTTATGTAGCAAACGAGCTTCTGAGCTACTAGACTCCTATATTTACATCCGCAGTGATGGAAAATAATAAGTTTACAGATAAATCAACAACGTTAATATCTGATTATAGATATTAAAAAAAGTGTCAGACTAATTCTGAAACGCTATTACAACGTTTCTCATTGTACGGGTATCACGCGTTTCCCAGTTGTTTGGAGTGCCGGAAGGTACAAAGTTCGAGCCCGCGATATAACGCCGAACATGTTCCATATTTTCAGTTGTGGACGCGTTGTAAGATTGGCAGTAAATCCCGCTTTTCGGTTAGGATTAGCCGCGGGTACTACTGACTGGTTCTTCTCCCTCTGTTTAGGAGTTGAAAGTTATTCCTGAATTTTTCGGTCTCTAACTTGCCCATTTTGCCCAAGTGTCGTATGAGATGCCATCTTTGAAGATTTCTAATTGAATCTAGCGACTTAGAAAAGTAAATTATTTAAATCATGATTTTTGTTTCACTTCTTTGCAAACTTACACTTTTGAAATATCCAGTCAAAACTAAGTATTAAAAAAAACTTCAGTTTTTCGGAAATATATGTATTGTGAAGTCATCTCTTCTGTGGATTGTCTTTGTTTTATTTCCAACTGCAAGGTTGTTTTAATATATTTCAATGGAATATTTGCTATTCAGATTTATATTTTTGTTCAAACCGCAATTATTCAGTCATTTATACACGGATTACATACTGTTATTAGAAATTTAAGATCTTATAATAAAACTTAAACCGCCCTCTTTTGTTCGATTAACACAACTTACCCGTTCTACATTTCAGTTATATACTAC